TCTTTCTCGAGATTGCCTACAAGCTCCTCTGAGTCTTATGGGTGGGAGGTTCCCACTCTGGTTTGGTGACAGAGAAGGAACTATTCTACATCATGTCACTAACACCAGTATTCAGCACCAGTGCAGTAGCGGGGATAACCCAGTATTGCCCCGGTGACTGTGCCGTTAGCACAGGAACTGTCAGTCGTGTCTTTCGTTTCCTGCCCCATCTGTTTTGCATTCTTGCTGTTGTAGCAAGAGCCATCGCAGAGCGGCATTTGTGTTGAGAGCATGCGTTCCAGATGAAAAATGCAGGGGTTGTGTAATGTCCAAACTGAGCTCTACCCTTCTCAGGAACATAAATCATTTACTTAACTGTTTTACAGATGTTAAGTCTGTCATTTGCACCAAATATCCATCCAGGAGATGCTTGCTCATATCACCCGTTTTGTATAAAATGGTTAGTTAGACCTCACAGACAGTTACTCTGACACTTTCCTTCACAGTAAATAAGGGTAATGCTATTCACCTGCTTTATGGCACATGAACATTAACTATTCATCCATGTCAGTATTTAAAGATGAAAATATAAATAATACTTATTTTTATATATACGTAGAATGTCAAATATTAAAGAAAATGGAGACTGGCTACACAATATGGTTGATATTTTAATATTCAGAAAAGGCAAAAGTACCAGGTTGGTTATTGCTGAATGAATTATATGGGAAAAATCAGCCGTGGAACTAGAAGAGTGCCAGAAAGGACAACAAAAGATATATTTGATATTTTATTTGGTTTTAGTTTTGTTTTCCATATTAATCTTCAAAATCAATTAGACTTAAAAGTTTTTAAAATATTTTAGCATTAAAATGTTTACAAACACTCTTACCTTGTGTTTATTCAAATACATAATCTGATACTTGTCTGATAGATGTTTTAAAATCAGTTATAAGAACTTACGTGGGTTAAAAGAACTTTTTAAGAGATGCACACATACAAAAAAATCCCCTTTATTGGAAAGATACAAAAAATTTTGTTGTCCTCTTCAAAAATTCTGGTTGCCCTTTGCAATTCAGGATGGCTACCATCTGTTTGGCCTTTTCCCATCAGGATTCCGCTATAATGATGAAATCTGCAGCATGTACAGAAATTGTTCTCAAGCCTATGTTAACAGTCCTGATAATATATTTTTTAGGTTTCCTCTACGCTCAGAACAGTACCAAACGCAGCATTAAAGAGCGACTTATGAAGCTCTTGCCCTGCTCGGCTGCCAAAACGACATCTCCTGTTACTCAAAGCAAGTTTTATTTTTCATTTGATTTTTTTTAGGTTTGCATGCATCAAAAGTTATACTTTCATTAACTGCTCATTTGAGACAAGATATCTACTGTGGTAACCATATGCTCTATTGAGGTGATGAACAGATTTGTTGGCCGGTTACAAATTCATCTGTGCAGAGCAGGACAGCAAGATACCAGGGTCTGCTGTGTAGGAGCTGCTGGGTTGGCAGTTACTCTCTGCAAGCTAGCTGAGAAGTGATTCACTGGTTAAATACAATACATGCTCTCAATGTATTTGAAAAGTGGTATCGTTTTGTGTATATGTGCACACGTGTCTCTGTGTGTTTGCTATGCAGTACACAGGATAGTATCAGCAGTACTGGTCTGGGAGGACAGGCTTGGCTCTGTGGGTTTGGCTATGTGACATCAAACTATTTAGGGAACAAGACCCAAAGTATGTGTCTGAAAGAAAAATAAAAATGAGATTGAAAACAAAGTATGTGAATGTAGAAATAAAGGAAAAACGTGCTGACACTACCTTTAATCTCTTGATATGCTGTGAGGAAATAAAATCTCTCCAAGGGTTGCTCGACAGATAAAAATAGGGGAAGAAAGGGGA